TATTATTGCTTCTGACTACTTGACTCGTTGGGTGGAAGTTGGTGCTCTTGCTAGTGCCTCTGCAACTGCTGTTGGATACTTCCTCCTCAATCGAGTGGTGTTCCAGCATTCTTGTCCAGAGCAGATTCTTTCGGATAATGGTCCTGCATTTATGGCTGAGGTATTTCATGTTTTGACATCTCGATTGGGGATACGCCACACTTTTACGAGTGTTTATCATCCACAATCAGACGGTCTGGTGGAACGGCTCATTCGGACATTCAAAGGGATGATAGCGAAGTATGTGAACTTTCAGCATTCGGATTGGGATAGTTATTTGCCGTCTCTTCGGTATGCCTATGTCACAGGGGTGCAGAGTTCTGTTGGTGCTTCACCATATAAACTTCTATATGGTCATGATCCAATATTACCAACGGAGCTGGGTTTACCTTCGCGGTTGCCACGAGTTCCTGATGCTAGGTCATGGGATCAATATTTGACAAGCATTCTTCCACTTGTCCGCGCAGAGTCTGCTGAACACTTAGGCCGCGTACACGTGGGACAACAACGGCGCTACAATTCCCATCATCGTCCACCTGCAGAGTACAAAGTGGATGATTTGGTGTTGGTCCGTTTTCCCCATCTTACGGTACGTGGTTTATCTAAGGGGCTCCTTGCGCAGTGGAAAGGACCGTATCGGGTGTTGCGGCAAGTTGGACCACAAGTTTATGAGGTTCGGCATGACGTTCAGTAGGCCGATCCTCCGGAGATTGTGCATGTGCAGCAGTTAAAACGCTTCATACAAAGGGATCAGGAGCAGTTAGTACCGTCTACAGATCCGCCGATGCCTCCTCCTGACGTTCCTCTAGATCCTGGCCCATCTACAAGAGAACCCTGATGGCCTTCCATTATTCCGAGAGGAGGGGATGATGTGAGGGCCAAGTGTACGGCTACGATGCCGTATACTAATATTAGCGTAGTGGGATTTTGGTAGCCGTCGGATTGGTTTCAATCTGGACCACTCGCTCCTGTATATAAGCTAGGGTTTTTAGGCTAATTGATATGCACATTTCTGTATTCTCTTTCCATATTCCATGCACTCACACCTCAATGTGCTAAAATAGAAAACCCCCAGGACTACTGCATCCGCTAGTATGAATGGCCTTTGAATGGATTCATGATGGTCATGATGCTCATACATGTGATGGGCCATAACAGGCACACATGGCATGTTACAAGCAAAGGTTAGTATTTGTAGATCAAGGATCTCTCTTGGTCTCCCAAAACACAGCGATCTGGAGAGGTATGGTTTGATCTGTAAAAAAGGAATTTGAATTTCATGTAGGCGTCATTTAGGTGCCAGGAACACCAATTCTGACTAAAGTTGCGAGGCTTATACTTGTATCTGATATGCTTCATAACATCCCGTGAAGAATAACAGTTATTATGGAGAGTTTCAATGACTATAATATAACAGGACAAATAACACCCGAAGCTCTAAAGGATCATATTTTATCGTGAACACTGTGCTTCTGAGTTCCTGGACGAGGAATTGTACGGAAATGCATTAACAATGTCACGAGAAAAACCATTTGCAAAAGAATATTCCTTTCAAATGTACAAAGAAATATAAAGCCCTTTCAGGGCATCAGACAACAATGTCAAGCATAAGCCTCGCAACTTTAGTTAGAATTGGTGTTCCTGGCACCTACATGATGCCTACATGAAATTCAAATTCCTTTTTTACAGATCAAACCATACCTCTCCAGATCGCTGTGTTTTGGGAGACCAAGAGAGATCCTTGATCTACAAATACTAACCTTTGCTTGTAACATGCCATGTGTGCCTGTTATGGCCCATCACATGTATGAGCATCATGACCATCATGAATCCATTCATACTAGTCTTGGGGGTTTTGCAGCCTATTTCAGCACATTGAGAGAAATATGAAAAAAAAATTAAAAAATGCGGAAGGGTATAATCTGGGAATATACCCTATGTAGTTTGCCAGGTGTGGGATGATCAGTTTGTCTTACTGTAATCACATCAAACAAGAAATTTAGAATCCTATGTTACTTCTCTTGCAAACTCCAACCATCGAAGGTATGAATCACAACTTCGTACTTTTCGTTAATCCATTCGCCCCTCCGAGAAAGCCAAATATAATGTGAATCATCACAAATCAACCAACCGTCAAACTTATCATCAGTTGCAATCTGTGTCCTCCAGAATCGATTAAATGGAAAAGGCAGACGTCCATTCTTCACAAGAAAATCCTGGAACCGCAGTGCAATATTCCCTGAAAATCTGGTAATTAGAATCTGCAGGACCGCTTCCATTGTAATCTTATCCAAACGCCAGAAAGTCCAATGCTGCAGAAGCAAACTCAACCGAGAAGAGAAAACCACAATGTCCCGCAAGCCCTGCACATCCTGAATCACTGTAGCTGATGACTGCATAGGTGGAGTCTTCAAACATGTAGATACCATCTCTCTGGTAGCAGGCATACTAGTGTCAAGTACTTTCCTCTCATTAACTGGTGGATGAAGCTGATATCGATGGACTGGCTTGTGTCTTTGACCTTTAAGCTCCAAGACATATGAAACCACAGTCTTCCTCAAAGAAGAGACAGGAACTTGCAATTCCGTTGAGACAATCCTCTCCGCAGATAAAAGAAGTGCCTTCTTTTTCCTTTTCCACTCCTGGACCTGTAGCTGCTCCAACAATTTGACCCTCTTTCTTTCCTGGCCTTCATCTTCATCATTGACCTGCTGCTCCTCCTTGGCCCGTTGAGGATCCTCATCCGCCTGCTCACATTCCTCTAAATATTTCGTTACGTCCTGCACCTTCAAATCCCAGAGAATGCCAGGGTATGTGACTGAGAGTAAAGTTTTGTGCGGAAAGAGACTTTGAAAGTACACACACCGGGCCTTCGTATCAAGTGCTTGGAGCTCCTCTGCAATCAACCTTGTTACAGCGTAGGACAGCTTCGTTGTGATGTTGTCAAGAACATCATAAAGAACAAGAGTATCAGCAGCTCGTTTAAGACCCTGGACAACATGCTTCATGTGTCCCAAGTTCTTGGACCTCCTTCTTGAGCATCTCAAGCTCCCGTCGCTGGAAAAGAAGTCTTGATGTCTTCTTCAATCCTGGTTAACCGACCTTCAGACACAAGCGGTAAACCCCGTGGCTGTAATTGAATGGGCAGCTGCTTCTGGATTTCCTCCTGAATCTTGGGCTGCTTCTCAGCCTCCTCTTGAATCTCGGGCTGTCTCACTGTTTCCTCATGTCCCACTGTTTCCTCATGGCTCACTGTTTCCTTGGGCTGCGGATTTACCTCTTCAATATCCATGGAAAGACCAAAATCTTCATCTGGTTTGTGACTTTCCCCTGTAGAGATTCTACGCTTACGACGGGTAAGAGTCTTACTCTTGGGATCCAGAGGTACATAGATCATAAGCGCCATACCACAATAGGAAGGAGGAGAAAATCCACGTCTTTCCTAGAACTCTAGCTCCTTTCTTAGTGTCATAACGAGCCAGTGGAATATTCGCTATTTTAACAAACTAGGGCTCTGTTTTTAGGGTTTATGCAATGAGGGTGAAGAGGCAGAAGCGCTACCGCAAGGCCGTGCGCTTCCTCAAGGCTTCGTTTGGCTTCCGGGAGCCCTTCAAAGTCCTCTGTGACGGTAATTTTCAGCACTCTGTCCTCCACAACATTCGCAAAGGCAGCGAAGACTTCGACAAGCTCTTGTCGCAGGCGCTGGGAGGAGCCGCCAAGGCGTTTACTACCAGGTCTGCGGTAAAATGTAGCTATCCACTGGAAGAAAAACGAAGAGAATTTCTTCTATCAGGTGTATCAATGCGGAGCTTAAAAAGCTTGGGACTTCTTTCTCGGACACTCTAAATGCTGCTCGAAAGCTTCATCTTGCCAAGTAGGAAAACTGCTTTCGTTGTTTTGTTCTTCTCGGTTATAGAAAACTTTGTTGGTTTGTTCTATAGGTGCGATCACGAGCCTGCAAAAGGAGGGAGCGAGTGCTTGGAGTCGCTCGTGGAGAGCTTCAATCCGGAGCATTTTTTTGTGGCAACACAAGATGGTGATTTACGCCAGAAGCTTCGAGTCGTAAGAATATTTTTCTTCCTCGTTTCTCTCTTTCGAAGATCACGATTTCTGTTTCTCTAGATGCCTGGTTGCGCTGTTGTCTACTCGAAGAAAACGTCGCTGTGTGTGGAACCGCCGTCAGAGTTCCAGCAGCAGTTTGCTAAGGAAGAGGAAAGCAAACGCGAAAGTTTGAAGTGTCGAGAGCAGCGACTTCTCTCTCATACCTCCGAGGACGAGGAACTTCCAAAGCGAAGCAAAAGTTTGATGGTGAGAGACCGGCCAACGTTCAAGAGAAAGCGAGCAAAAGTAAGTGTTTCTCGCTTCGTTTTAGTTCTTCTTCGCTAAGAAAGAGGTCATCGTCGCAGGGACCAAATCCACTTTCTTGCAAGAAAAAGAAACAAGTTCCAGAAGTAAGAGTTCTTTCTTCTCTAAGATGACAGCTAAACATGAAAATGGTGTTGCAGGCATCAAACGATGGAGAGAGGTCTTCCCGGAAGAAAGTAAGGAGGAGAAATCGCAAGAAAAACAGCGTAAAAGAGGACGTGATCCATAAATCTCCTGCTTGAGGTACATCTTTCGATTTTTCTTTTCTACACAGCTCAAGTTCTAGATCTTTGAAAGCCCGCGACGACTAATCGAGATGGATCGATTTATTGAGGGCTCCATCCAAGAAAAAAGAGATGCTCACGGTTTTCTTCCTTCCATTCACGAGAGTGATCGAAGAATTCTTTTTTCTAAAGGTGTTTCTAGCTCACTGGTTTCGAAAGAAAAAAGAAAATCCGAGAGTGCTGATAATCATTAAAACGCCGTGGTCGAACCATGGTGTAACCGTGGTGTGACCATGGTGAACCGTGGTGTGACCGTGGTGTAACCGCGGTTACTGGGTGTATATATAATAGCCCTAGGAGCAAAAGAAGAGGTCAAGAGGAGAGCGAGAGGGGAGGTCTAGGAGCTTGGCGCTCGGTGATTTTGGAAGGAGATCATGTCGAGCAAGCAAGGTAATGCTATCGATTCCCTTCCCGATGCTCTAGGGTTGATTGATTGTGGAGATTGCGAGCGCTTTGTTTCCCTCGGTCTCCGGTTTAGATTCTCGGAATTTCTCCCGTCTCTTCTAGATCTCGGCTGTTCTTCTCTAGCCCTCCGCATTGCCGCTCTAATGTTTCGATTGTCCAGGTGGGAAGTTGAAGCCTCTCAAAGCTCCCAAATCCGACAAGAAGGATTACGACGAGGTAAGAGAAGAAGATCTTTCTTTTGGTTGCGCTTGCGCTGATCGATCGTCGCTTGGGCTTTCACAGGAGGATAAGGCGCACATCGCGAAGAAGAAAGAAGAGGAGAAGGTAATTCCTTCCACGGCTCCTACTTATCTTCTTCCATTTCTCCCTCTTTTCTTTGGCAGGCAATGAAGGAACTCAAGAGCAAGGCCTCCGGGAAAGGCCCTCTCACCAGTGGCGGCATCAAAAAGAGTGGGAAGAAGTAGCCCCGTACGGCCTTCGTACGGTATGGCTGTAAAATCCCCTTCCGTAATGACAAGCTAAGTCGCATTTTGTGTCGTCCTAGTCAGTTGCCACGTTGCGAAAAGTCCTGACGTGTTAAGACCATATTATTCTCAATTAAATAATCTCTTTATTTCTTAATCGGTCCAATCAGCTGCCACGTTGCAAATCCACTCACAAGAAGATGACGTGTCACAGCATCCCGTACTGCCACGTAAAGGCTACTTTGCCTACTTGTCTTTTACCTGTAACGCGCTTCGTATCCACTTCTCTACCATTTGCTGAGAGTTCACGCCTTGATCGGCTGGGACTAGGTGCCCGGCGCCCGAAACTACAACGTGAGTGAGCGTTCCATAGCTCCTCCAATACCCCGCGAAGGATTTCCCAACTTTCCAGATCTTCTTCTCGGCCGCGAAGAACTTCTCTCGGTGCTCCCACTCGAGCTGTCGCATCCAGTCCTCGGAAGCAACCACGCCGTCTTTGATGTCGTACTGCCCCTGGTAGATCAAGATCGGGATCTCGAGCAGCAGCTCCTCGACCATCCACTTGACACTCTTCATCGTGTCGTTGGCCATGATCGTCCTCACCCGAGGATTGCAAGAGATCCACTGCGCCGCATCGTCGGCCTTGAGCGCCGCTTTCACTTCCTGGCGATTGAGGAACAAGGCCAGGAACTCGGTTCCATCCTCCGAGCAGTGGTATGGAACGCTCCTTCTCACGTCCAGGACTGTTGCCAACCCGGTGACGTTCTCGATCCATTCCATGTACTGTGTTCTTGATTCGTAGGCGCCCTGCCAGTCTTCTCTCTCGATCGATGCCACCACCACCTTTGCTCGATCTTCCGCGTGGGATCTCTGGGCAGCGTCGAGCAGACCAAAGCTATAAGCAGTGGCGGCGTGGGTCTGGACCTGGGTGATCGGATGCGTGAGACCATTGCCGATCATCAAGCCATCCAGCCGGAAAGAAGAGTTCTTGGAAGAGTTCTTGGATAGCTTCACCAAGTAGTGACCAAGAGCTGGGACGTATTTTCCAGCGTAGCTCTCCCCGGCGATGAAGAAAGGCCGGTTCTTGAACGAAGGATCAAGCTTGAAGAATTGGAGTAGAGCTTGATGGAGGTCTCGAGCAACCTCGTCTTGATTCACTGGAATATCATCGTCTTTCTCAGCGATGCTGTACCCTGTTCCTAGCGGATTATCGATGAAGACAACACCAAACCTGTGATTCCAGGGCGCTTCGTTCCGGTGGAGCTGGAGATCCGGCGCCGTCCTCCAGGGACCAAATTCGTAGAAATTTCCAGTCATGCTTGAGCAGCCAGGGCCGCCTTGCAGCCACAGGATGATCGGCGTCGACGCCAGCGCCTCGGCAGGCTCGATTGCCTCGTAATAGGCGAAGAACATCTTGGAAGAGCGATCGAGAGGGAAATAGCCGGAGATTGTCGGCAGCGCCTCGGTCGGGAAGGGAGAAGAGACTTGATCATGGAGGAATTTGAAGGGATAGAACGCTCCTCCAGCTACCGCTGCCAGAATCACAGCCAAAGCGGAGATCATCGTTCGGGGAAGAAACCCTAGCGACAAACAGTAAATTAAGGCGTAAAAAACGGCGGGAAATCTCAACAGAAATTTAGGCTTAGGGTTCTTCGCGTGGAAACTACCCGAGAGATGGGCACCAATGGGCGGAGGTATGCAAGAAATCTCGATTTCTAGGCTTCGATTCTGATACTATTTCCTTGCAGCCACAGATCTCCCCGGCGCCTGTCGATGATCCACGAGGAAGCGACGAAGCTCGAGAAAGACACAATCAAGCTCGAGAAGGAGGCCAAAGACAAGGAGACGAAGCTTGCGAGCATCCGCGCCGCATTGGCGATGGAGCACCGGGTGCGAGAGGATATCAGGTAGTGTCCGGGACTTCCTTGAGCTTACATTTGATTTGGGGTTCCCCAAATCTTTCGCAGCAAAGAAGCTAAAAGCAAGGGCTCTTGGTGGCATTCCCCACAGGTATTTTTTCATCACTATAGAACACTTCGTGATCGATTGAGCGGTCTTTTTTCTTCTTTTTTTTTTCCAGAGAAGCAAATGCAGTGATTTGCTATCAAGATCAAGGTCGAGCACGAAACCATTACACGAGCTCAAGACGATTCGCAGTGGTTCTTCCTGCTCGTTAAGTGCGTCAGAGACCTTACTTCCACTTTGCATTTACATCTCAAATCTTTGTAGCTTTCCAGAGACGACTACCACCGAGAACGAGCTCATGAGCCGGATCTGCCAGGACATGACCATCGACCAAGACTATGATCTCGACAGCACCAGATATAACTCGTCGCTCAAGAGAGCATCCAACATGCTACTGAGCTCTTTTGGCAGCGATACAAGTTTCGAAGGAACCAAGCTAAGCCAGTCATCATCCTCGGCTAGAGGAACTCCAGGCTAGTGCCTTTTTTTGTAGATCGTTTCCACTCGATCATTCGGTCTGGTCTCACACCTTGTTTTTTCAGTCGACCTGAGCCCGAGAAGGGATCGGTTCCCGGTGGAGGAGCAGCTAAGCCAGTCGAGCTCGATGCTTACGGACGATCCTCGCTGCATGGGGATTCAGACAGACCATTTCTGTCCACCGTCAGTCATGGAAAACACTGCGGCTCCTCTTCCCCCGAAGCGTGAAAAGACTTACTTCGAGCACGTAAGTTTCCTCTCCTCTTTTGGTTTTAAGTTTGTGTTTGTTTTGGCAGCTCGTTGCGCAAGCTCACATGATTCCCAAGAGATCCCTGTACGAAACAAACATCTGATAATCAGAAAACGTCAACAACAGTTTTGTACCTACCTGGAAGATTTCGATCCTGGCCAATCAAAGCCGCCTTTTAAGTATAGCTTGTACCGCTCGATGTAGCTGACAGCCAAGCTCGGTGTCAAGTTCTTGAGAAGTATGTTCACCATCTACTTAGTTTTTAGGAAAGATATTGTCGTTCGAGCTCGATAACTAGTTAAATGCTTGCAAGATCTTGTAACGAAGCAAATGTTTCCTCTAAGAGAAGAACTCTGCGATTGTAGTACACCTGCCAGCTTATCGAAAAACTTGGAACTCGAACTTACTTGCCTGTTTGATCGTCGCGCCTGCCAATGCCGATGGAATGACCTGTCAGCGGCTTTAAATGCTGTAAACGCGGCGATTTGCTCCTCACCGCGTGCAAATTAAACTCGCCATTGTTTTAACTTGGATGCACAGCTTGTCTGAAGAATCATCCTTTCAGGGCCCAGTTATGTCGTCCCCAACTGTAGCAGCACAGAGAAACCTCCTCGTTGCGACACTTGTGCTTCTTCTCGTAGCGATTTCTAGCGGGAACACCAGCAGCAAATCACCTGTGGTATGTATGAAACTTTTTCAGCTTACCTGAGATGTTTGAAGGTTTTCCAGAGCAAAGGCAGGATGTTTCGCCAAGACTATCGCGATGTGAATCCAATCCCTCGGCCATGGCTACCACTGAGACCAGGACCAATCGTCTTCATAAGGCCCGTTCCTCGCTCTCCTCCACCTCCAAAGAGTTCACTCTCGCTTCCGCCGGCACCGAGTCCTCTCCCGGGACCACAGGGACGTCGGAGGACCAAAAGGACGTTGCCAGGCTCACGAACTTGACGTCTTCACCAGTCAAGTGTATCAGAGTTTCCAGTTGTAAAGCCAACGAGTGATTGCAGAGCCAGCCTCGCTCCCGACTTGTAAATGCCGTCCAATGGATTCTTTGGAAATTCAAAGTCGAAGTTTTCTTCTTCGGGCTTGAAAGATACCGAGTCATGCTGCGACACCTCAAAGAGCTTGCCTGGACAGTCGTCTTCCAGCTTGAAACATAAGGAGTCCACCTCAAAGAGCTTGCCTGGACTGTCGTATCCTTGGTTGTATCCGTCTTCTTCTTCGTCTTGGATCTCCGAGATATCAAACCGTCCAGCCGATCTGAGTTCTTCTTGGATCTCCGAGATATCAAACTGTCCAGCCGATCTGAGTTCTTCGCAGTCTGAATGGCCGTCGCCTTCAAGCTGTGAATCGTTTCCATCTATCGAATGCAGTCCCAATGTATCCTTCGTAACTTCAAAGCTCAATTTTTCTTCTTCCGGCTCGGAATATAGCGACGAGAGTAAGTCCTGTTGCGGCACCTCGAACAGCTGGCCTGGACTGTCGAGCTTGTCTGTCTCGATACTCTGGCTTGAGAGATTTACATTTGGGAACCGTCCAGCACTCCATGCCGATCTTGTCATCTCCTTGACGTTCCAGGTTTTCAGTGCTTCGTAGTCTGAATCTCCGTCGTCGTCTTTGAGCTGTGAACGACTCTCAACATGCCCCTCCCAATCCGCACTATTGTCATCCGAAAGCCCGGAACTCCACGCTAATTCCGTCATCTCCTTGATATTCCAGTTCTTCAAGGCTTCGAAGTGAGAATCCTCTTCGTCTTCAAGCAGTAAGGGACTTCCAGGTTGAAGTAGTTTATGGCCTTTTTCCTCGCACGAGATGGCCGGATTAACAACGTCCAGCCTCCTGAGCAGTGTTTCGACTCTGGGAGGCCTGGAAAATAAATTAGCTACCAACGTGAGCAAAATCAACCCAATGTAACCTTACCCCTTAGATTTGGAACTCCGAGATGATAGTTCTTGGAGATTATGTTGGATTCGCGTGAATATGTTCTTATAGTTGCCCGTGTAGATTGCCCCTGTGCATAGTAGTATTTAGAACAAGAGAATAGCTACAATCTTCAAGAACTTTACCATCATCGCTTTTACTTCCCCTTAACATTCCATCTGTCGAGGAAGGAAAAGGTCAAAACATTAAGTACAATGCTGAAACTTATTACCATTGTGTCTTTGCGTATGAGTTGGAGAACTTAAATCTCGATTTTCTTTGGAACGTTTGAAGTAGATTTCACCTTAAAACAGACTCAGGGTCAATGAGATTTCTAGATCACACCTTAAAAATCTTACCATCATCCTTGTGACTTCCAGTATTTTCTGGACACCATGAAAAAATTACAATCCTGAAATAATCACCAATCTTACCTTCGTAGCTTCCCTTGTAGCTCAAATCTGGGAAAACGAAGTGAGAGCTAGAATTATAAAACAATGCTATAAGAAACTACCATCATTTTTGTCGCTTCCCGAGTCGATTGTTCCTGGACAAAAAAGGATACCGAGAATGACGCAGGAACAATAGTAAAGGCTTACGATCGTCTCGCTCTGGGGTGTGTACTTCTGGCAGACACTGCTGGAACCGTTTGAAGAAACTAAACTCGGACGTCCTCGGCCTGTCGAAGAAGCTCGAATTCTGGAAAACCGTCCTTCTCAATTGCCGCGTCTTGTTCCTGAATGGTAACCACGTAAGAACGAGCCAAGCCGGACCATAATCTCACTTCAAGCGCTTCTTCTCGAGCGCGCGACGCGATCGGAACCCCTGAATACCAAAATCAAGGAAAGATCGGAGACCTGCAATGCCAGATGCGCCTACTTGCGACGCGGAGGAGGAGGACGATGCCGATGACGCCGTGCCAAGGCTTCGGACTCCCATTGCTGAAGAGCCCTAATACTCTGCTCCACAAAGCCGTAAGACCCTGATTTTCCCGCCTTGTTTTCGAATTTCCCGCCCTAGGTCTTCTTCGCGCGCGATGGCTGGCACCAAGGGTCAAGCGCCTAAGCTTCGCAAGCGCGTCGACGCTGCTGTGGAGCTCAAGCGTGCCGCCGATGGAAGTGGATTTGTTCGCTGGTATGTGTTTTCGTGACGATTCTATGGAAGCCCTAGTCTCCAATCGTTCTTTCTCTATTCAGCGAAGAATGCAAGAAGGATGTGCCAGTTGCGGTGGCAGACATGCATACATGCAGTAGCTTGAAGGTGCCCTTGAGAGGTGAGCGAAGATTTTGCTTTCCCCCCTTTTCTTGGTTTTCATCACGCTAGTTTTGTTAGTTTCAAGTGCGCCAGAGAGGAAGCCGATGGAAAAGCAAAGTAAGAAACGCAGTGGTGGTAAAACAGAAGAGAAGAAGCCGAAGAAGCAAGCCAAGAAGAGAAAAAAGGACAGTAATCTTCCAAAGAAGCCAATGACGGCGTTCTTCCTCTTCATGTAAGACTGCTTTCGTTGCTTGAGTCGTTTCGAGTTATTTCACTGTTGTGATGGTTTTGCTCTCAGGGAGGACTTCAGGCAAAAGAAAAAGGCAGAGAATGTGAAGGGCTCTGAGGTTGGATGCTGCGACAAATTTTTTTCATCATGCTAACTTGGATGTGTGTTTTTTGTTACAGGTAGCGAAGCTTGGGGGAGAAGCATGGAAGGCGATGACACAAGAGGTCGTGAAAATATTGTCTTTGTTTTTCTTGACTGATTGTTTTCCTTTTTCCAGGAAAAAGCTCCTTACACTGAGAAGGCAGCTCAACTGAAACGAGAATACGATGCTGAAGTTAAAAAACTAAATGCCGATGAAGCTTCCGAGGTAAACTTTGTAGCTTCATTACGTTATCTTGGTCTGATAACCCAACTGGCAGCCGAAGGAGGACGATGGCGGTGAATCCGGCAGGGAGGATTGCAGAGTCATGAACGAAGAGAACGCCGATGAGTCGGAGAAGGAGAATGGAAGCGGATCGGCCACTGAAGCAGAAGAGGTTTGAATAAAAAACTCCAACTTCACATCTACTTTTAACTTTTTTGTTTCTCTGTTTTTGCAGTAGCTAGTTGTTTATGCATAGCGTTGTTAAATATTTGACAAACCAGGATTTTTCGCTGAGCTTGATTCGTTACAAAGCGATAAAAGAGACATGAAAAAAATGAGAAAATCGAAAAATCACTTTCTGTACCGTAGGAGCATAAAGATCAGGTCCTGCCCGCCTCTAGAGACCATACTACGAACAGCATTGGAAGGTTCGTCCGGCTGTTTATCAGTATAACTCATTGATTCTTTTTTATTTCTCTCCAGCAGTACAGAAGATTTGTGGCTGCTTAGGAAGAGCAGTCAAGGTCTTTACTGTGACTTGCCGTGTCATCGCTGGAGTCTGAGGTCTTATTGTCGCCCTCTAAGGTTTGCACTGGAATTCATCGCTGATACATGCCAGGTGTGAGCAGGCAGGCATGAGAAATCCCGGTATTGTTAGAAAGCTAGTTCTTCTGGCGTGGTTTCAATGGGGGGTAGCAACAGCAGCAGCAATTTGCGAGAGAACGAGCTGCGGTAATGTCACTGTTCAATACCCCTTTGGTCTCGGATATGGCTGTGGAAGTCCCGGCTTTGGGCTAAGCTGCACAGACTCTGTCTTGTACTTCAACAGTTCGATTGTGGGAAGCATCGACTACAATGGCCGAAGTTTGGTTTTGAGCTCCGGTGAAGGCTGCCCCTTGAGGAATCCTTCAACGGAGATTCAGATCTGTAGCAGAAACCAAAGAAATGACGGGAATGGACAGCAAGTATGTTTGCTTGGTTACAGTAGCTGCTGCTTGGAAAGAAACTCGTCATTCGACGGAGAAGGATGTATGGCTTACAGGGCGGCTGGAGGCTCGTCTTCAACAGTTAGTGCTTCTCTGGGTGATTTTTCACTCAGGTGGCCTGTGGAACTACAGACTAGGTGCGACCCTTGCCATCGCGTTGGGAATGGACAGTGCGGCTACAACTCAACAAGTGATTTCGTCTGCTTTTGTGCGACGTCAAACACGACCGCAACTTGCAGTGACCCTCGTAAGTAATTATCATTTTTCTTCCTGCTTCGCAGCTCACATTTGGACGTATCTCTGCAGAAGGCCGAACCAATGCTCCAATAATCATATCAGGTATATCAGGTAGTTTGATTTCTAAGATGGTTATTTTATGAGAGTGGCGACTTACTTTCGATTGGCATGAACAGGCTCTGTCGCCATCGCGGTGATTGTCGTGGTTCTCGTGTTCGGAGTGAGCCTCTCAATATACTGGAAGTGGAAAAAGAATGGCCGCGAGAGCACGCCAGAGCCGATTTTCTCACTCGACGATCCCAGCCGAGATGTCGAAAACCTCCGCCAGATACTCTCCACGCGCAGGGGCGACCCCGCAAAGCTCTACACCTTATCCGAGATCGACAAGGCCACAAACGGTTTCGACAAGGAACACAAGATTGGCAGCGGTGGCTTTGGCACTGTTTACAAAGGACTCTTCGACGACGGCTCGGTTCTAGCAATCAAGAGAGCAAACCACACATCAAAGCAAAGCTCGCGGCACTTTTACAACGAGGTGGCCGTCCTTTCACAGGTAAACCACCGCAACTTACTCAGGCTCATGGGTTGCTGCGTCGACTCGGACGTTCCCATACTCGTGTACGAGTACATTCCAAACGGGAATCTCTTCGAACATCTCCACAAGAGGCCGGGGGTTTTAAGCTGGAGCAACAGACTGACGATCGCAATAGAGACGGCCGAGGCACTTGCTTACTTGCACTCGGCTGCGTATCCACCGATCTATCACAGGGACGTAAAGTCGGCCAACATTCTCCTCGACAACGCCTTCACGACGAAGGTGGCGGACTTTGGCCTCTCCCGGCTGGTTCCCGTGGACGTGACTCACGTCTCGACCATGGTACAAGGAACTCCCGGCTACGTCGACCCGGAGTATCACCAGACGTATCAGCTCACGGACAAGAGCGACGTCTACAGCTTTGGGGTGGTGCTGCTGGAGATGGTCACGGGGCGCAAGCCAGTGGACTTCGCCAGAGCTTCCAAGGACGTGAACCTCAGCGCCTACTCGGTGCCTTTGATCCGGAAGGGACTGATCGAGGAGATCGTGGACCCGAAGCTGGAAGTGAGAGTTTCTGGCAACGCGGCCGACTTGGAGCTCCTGGAATCCATCCGAGCAGTGGCCAACGTCGCGATGGCGTGCCTGGCGTTTACGAGAGACGAGCGGCCGACGATGAAGAGAGTGTTGGAGGAGCTTGTGGCGATCCGGGGGTCGGATGGATTGATTAGGACGGAGTGGCTGGAAGGCGAGGTGATTCTCACCGAGAGTTTCCATCCCAGCGAGGGTGTCTCGTATAACAGCGGTCGGTCGCGAGATCATTCAGCGGAGATAACGGCCAGGTAAAGTATATATAAATCAGTTTTGAAACTTCCACTCTGGCAACAGACTTCGTTCCGTGCAAGAAGGCGATTTTAGATATACCTATCGTCATACGTCTGAATTCGGATCAAATCTTTGCCCTGCAGGAGCAAAGAACTGTAATGCCACTTTTCTAATCAATTTCAAATATCAATCTCCAAAGGATTGTTTAACAGATTGTAGATTATATGTCCCGTTACCTGTAGAGAAGTAAAGAACCTTCCAGAATCGTGTGCTTGTCATCTGAAAGTTCTGAAGCATTAACTGGCCATAAAGGTCTTTCATGGCGCATCCATTGCCTGAGCATAACAACGCAAGCTACCTCTACTGCTACATGACCAACACGATCTCACAAAATTCTCCAATATAACCCATTGCGCTGATGATTGTCACAATTGTCCAGGAGAAAAAATTCTGTCCAAGAATTTGCTGGGCTTCCTCCAGAGCACCACACATTGGTAAGGAATTTTCCAGCCTCCCCACCAACGGATTCTTCCACGGCTGCCGCTCCCTAAGCCGAGGTAGCGCGTATACTTGCATGTCATTCGCCAGGTATTTTTTTCTATTCGTTTTGAACTGACCTTTATTCAATAAATATTCATAATGTATCCAAATTTTAAATAAAAACATAAGTTAGCTCGAATGGTGTTTGATAAGATCTTTGCTCAAGAAAATACATATAGTGGAACAATCAAAAGAGAAATACTTGTTTTACTTGCTAGATGGGCATATATGGCTGTGGTTGCACATGACAGGTGTGGATATGATTTTTTGTTTTTCATTATGGTAAGCAATTTGTGATTGTAAGTTTTGGGAGGAGGTACAATTGAAATATACCTAAAGTGTGGCAAGTAATTTGTGATTGCAACTTTAGGGGGGAGGTACACCTCCCAACAAAAAGGTTTACATAGCTTAGCAAAAAAATGTATTGACCTGTAAGATATATGAATTCAAAACACATGTGTTTTAATTGTCTAAACATATGTATGATTCATAAAATAATCTTTGGATGTAATTTTTTTTTCAAGTCATAAGCATGTATGCCCTGTATGAATTTTGCCCTCATATAAAATCCATATCAATGCGTTATATGTATATCAACTTTATTACAATAGTAGGGTTTTCTATATGAATTGGGTTAGTAATGATGAGTAGAGCACCTTTATGTTTTGCCAATTCTTCTTAAGCGGTGAGTGTAAATCATAAATTTTTCTCTTCTAATTTGCTAATTTACCTTGTTTATCTGATTACCTTTGCTTTCGCTTCAATTACTTGGATTCAATTATTTATTGCATAAGCAACAAGGTATTAGCCATTTATCAATAGATTCCTAAACTCTATCCAAATCCCCCTCCTTGGATTAAAAGTTTAGTTACGCTCC